AACTCTCAGTTTCTGCCCAAGCTCCATGTCTTTTTGCCCCCCACCATGATGATCATGTACTAAACCTGAAAGCAAGTCCCCAGTTAGATGCTTTTCTTTGTAACAGTTGCCTTGGTCATGGTGTCTCCCTGCTGCAATAGAACAGAGACTGAGACAACAAGACAGCTTAGATAAAAATACTAGCAGGGGTGCCGGGCGTTGGTGGAGCATGCCTTTAATCCCAGCACTTGAGAGGCAGAGGCAGGCGGATCTCTGTGAGTTCGAGGCCAGCCTGGTCTACAGAGTGAGTTCCAGGACAGCCTCCAAAGCCACAGAGAAACCCTGTCTCAAAAAACCAAAAAAAAAAAAAATACTAGCAGGGTTCACCCAAAACTTAGTATCTGTTGAGTATTGATGGGGGTTGTGGGGGTGGGTGGTGGGTGGTGGGGGTGGGTGGGTGAGGATCATGAACTTCCCTACTTTCCAGTGGCAAAGGCAAAGGAGGAAAAAAAATCACAATATGGTGCAATCCTTCCCGTAGCAGGGTCCCATATGGTTAGTCAAAGAGGTTACGGGACAGCTTGAGGGGTATCAGAAATGGATTCCCGGAAACAGCCTAAAGTTAGTCTGAAGGGTTGAGTTAGACAACACATGGAGAGGAGGGTATGAGGCAGGGAGGTAAAAGCTCACAGTGGCATCAGGGACAGTGGGCTGCAGGGTGATGAAACTCATAGTCACTGGAGGAGGAGGCATCTGCAGGATCCAGATGAGAACTAAGGAGGTTGGCCAAGGCAATCAGGATGAGGAAGGTAAGTGCAGGAGACCTTGGAGAGAGAGAGAGCCAGTGCACCCTGAACTGGGCAGCTGGGGAGGGTGGGTCATTGGTAATGCTCCCAGTCACCTGCAACAGGAACCAAAGGCTTACTGGTGTAATGGAGCATGCAATTGATGTTGGATCCAAGCAGTCAGTCAGCCTGGAAGTCGGGCTGTGTCCACACCTCTGTTGTCTGCTGTACCAGTGTCACCCTGTTTTCCCAAGCGGTGGAGAATATGGCCACTGGCTGTTAGGACACAGGCCTACCCCTTTGAAAGCCCTGGTCACCTCTGAAAGACCACATCCTACAGCCTGGTTATATCAGGCCATGTCTGCATGGGTCTCTGTGGGACCAAGAATTAAGAAGCTATCTGTGTGGTGGCCTGGCAGTTGAAATTTCTGCTCTATTGACCTAACAAGCATCTGCCTGGCTCCTCTGTGCTCTCTGTCATATATGCTGTGTTGAACTCAATTGTGTGATGTGAAACTTCCTGCCAGCCTCCCCTCTCCCAACTTAGACAACTCTGATATTTCCTTTGTTTGGGAGATGGCTTCAGGATTTGCTCTGGAGAGGCTTCCCTGGCTCTTCCAGCCATCCCTCTCATAGCAACACTCTCTCCCTTTGATTCTCACTCTTAATGAAGCTTTTCTCCAGGTTTGGAAAGTTAAGCCTCTCTTTCCCATGAAGGCCATTTTTGTTTTTCATATATTATACCACTTTCTGTCTAATGCTTTCTTCCTCCCATCCCAAGGCTCAATCATTGCCATGAGGACTTTTAATAAACTTCATTTCTGAAGGGAATTATTTGTCATCTCTCTTTTCCTAGAATGCCCTCCGTTCCTTAATTATTTGTCATTATATTTAACAACAGTAATATCAGAATAATGTATTTGCTTGTGTGTACGTGTGCAGAAAGATACAGAGAAAATGAGTGTAGATACATCTCTCTTGTCATGACTTTCCCTAAGAGTGGGACATAGCCTGCCCTTATTGGCCCAAATGGAGTTAGATACCCATTTTGGAGCTATTCTGGGAATGCCATGATATCTATTCCTTTCTACAAGAGACCTTCCCTTCTTCACCTTTGGTTCATGGTCAATCTAGAATGGGAGAACAGGGCTGATTTAGCCAAACAGAGGCTCCTCCTGGAGTCCTACATCACACCCAGCCTCTGATCTATTCATCTGGGGAAGGAGGAAGCAGGCTGTGGAGAAGATGTACCCATGAGCATCATCAGGGTCAAGGTTTCACTTTGCATTTCCACTGTAGGTGTTACTGATGGTACCCACGGGCTCCTCATCTTCAGGGCGAAAGGTCATTGTTAGTAAAATTCCATAGCCATGCCTGAGTGAAGAAGAGAGGACCTTTTCTAGCATGACTTTCACAGAAGCAAGAGAATTTTCCCAGAAGCCTCCCTCACAACTCCCTTTGAGTCACATAACCACAGCCAAACTAGACATTAGCAAGAGGAATAGAGACATTGTGATTAAACTAGACTAATTAGGATTGTCCCCTGGACTTGGCACCGAGTTCCCAGAAGCACAAAGACGTGTGCAGGGGCAGGTGGATGCATCTCTAAAGAACAACAGTCCTGTTAGGAAGGAGGGGGAATGGTGAATGGGTGTTGGAGAGGGTGGGCTACCAGGATGAACCCAGAGAAAGGCAGGTGCAGCCTTGCCAAGGAGGAGGCTTTAAAGGAGACGTGGCGAGCGCACTCTTAGACTTACTAAAGATAAGATGCTCGCGAGCCTCCCAAGCAGGGAAGCCAGCTGTGCAGAGGGGTGACTGTCCCATTCTAAAATATGCACATCTCTTGGTTTAGCTCTTCCCTCTAGAGCACCCCTCAGATCCTTCTGTGGACATCTCTCCTCATGGCCTTCCAGAATACAGGGTCTCTTCAGGATTCTGTCCCCTGACCTCTGCCCTTCTCATTCTGTGCTGTTCCTATAAGTCAGTGGTTCTCAACCTGTGGGTGGCGACCCCTTTGGGAGTAAAATGACCCTTTCACAGGGGTCGCCTAAGACCATTAGAAAACACAGATATGTATATTACAATACATAACAGTAGCAAAATTACAGTTAAGAAGTAGCAATGAAAATAATTTTATGGTTGAGGAACTGTATAAAGAGCCTTGGCATTGAGAGGGTTGGGAATCTCTGGTCTCGGGGGCCTCACCTTCAGTTTCCACTGCCAAGGCAATGGCTCCAGCTTTGCTCTTCTGAGACCCAGGTCTCTAACCATTCAGCTTGGAACTTTGGGCCCTCCACATGCCTTTCTCTCTATAAAATCCTGGCCATAGTCATTGTAATCCTGGATCACTTTCTGTTTTATAACAACGGACTATAAAAATGCAACTTCATTTCTTTCTCTTTCCTCCCTTTACCGAATAAACTTCCTTCCCATGTTAAAAAAATGCAATTTCAAGTTGCCTTCTCTGACTCTACTGCTGTCCTGAGTCTGTTGTGTCTGATTCTATCCTCCCCTATATTTATGTGAGTATATATGTACATATGAAAGCATGTATGTACGTGTGCATGCATGTATGTACATGTGCATGCATGTATGTATGTGTGCATGCATGTATGGGGAGAGATATCCCTGTAGAATAGCTTTCTTGGACCCAGTGTGGTTTCCAGTGACATTTTAAATCTCCTCAATTGGGAGGCAGAGGCAGGCAGATCTCTGAGAGTTTAAGGCCAGGCCAGTCTACATGGTGAGTATCAGGCCAGCCCTGTCTCAAGCTTTCTCAAGGTCCTGTCAAAAGTAGCCAAGATTGGCCCGGTGTTGGTGGCACACGCCTTTAATCCCAGCACTCGGGAGGCAGAGGCAGGTGGATCTCTGTGAGTTCGAGGCCAGCCTGGTCTACAGAGTGAGTGCCAGGACAGGCTCCAAAGCAATACAGAGAAACCCTGTCTTGAAAAACAAAACAGATAAACAAAAAAAGCCAAGATTATGTTATTTCCCAGCATTCATGCTTGTTCCTGTATCAGCAGTGCGCATCCATCATTGCCCTACAGTTTTACAGTATCTTCTGCATCCATCATTGCCCTACAGTTTTACAGTATCTTCTGCATCCATCATTGCCCTACAGTTTTACAGTATCTTCTGCACATGGCTATGTTTCCCTGCTACTTTGACATTGAATCTGAGTGTGTGAATGGAAAGTGGGCACTTACCAATGTAGCTGGAAGCATTAAGAGCCACTATGTGCCCACTTGTGGAGGTGTAGCCTTTAATCTCAGCACTCTAGAGGCAGAGGCAGATGGATCTCTGTGAATTTAAGGCCAACTAAGGCTACATATATACATACATATATATACAATATATCATATAATCTATACACATTATATGTAGTATTTATATTGTATATATTATACTATAGTATACATATATAATATATATGAATTTGTATATGTATTATATGTGTATATTACATGTACACATTTGTATATATAATATATTATATATAGTATACACAATAAATATGCGATTATATATTGGAAAATATACAATTATATATAATATAATGTAATAATTATATACATTACAATATAATCAATATATAATATACAAAATATAATACACAAAATATAAGATATATATTTTGTATATTATATATTTTTGTATATAATACATACAATGTTTATATTACATACATAATGTAATAATTTATATATATATGTACTCTGATCACTTTGTTTTCTGCGACAAAATTAAGAGTGTGGTGAGTTTGCCAGGAGGAAGGTTGTTACAAGAACAATGTATCTCTTACAGCATTAGTGAGCAGCTGCACTCACACATACACCCTCCACAGACACACATATATACATACTTTTAAATCACCTGCCTCAGCCTCCTGGATGCTGGGAGTAAATGTGTGCATCGCCACACCCTGCCCCCACTTTCTAATCTTAAAAAAAATATCAAAGCAAACATGAGCCCACTGGACAGCAGTCTACAAATCCTGCCATTTTATTTGGGTTTCTGCTCTTAGGTGCTATGTGAACTTCCCAGCAATGCCCACACTCCACACCACTCAAGCTGGTTCCATCAAAATGGGCAACCTGCAGTTGTCTTAGAGGCCCCATTGCCTATTCTCCATCTTCTTGAAGGAGCTGACAGTTTTGCCTGAAAACTTTTCTCCGTGATGGAGACACAAAAGGAGAAAAACCACTGGTGGCACGGAACTAAAAAACAAGGCCTTCAGACCTTTTCACAACAAGTTTATTTTCTGTAAGTTATGGCAGAGGCGTCAGGATTATTTTCCAAAGGCCTGGTAAGGAGAACATAAAGGAGGTGATTATGCTGGTTGCAGAAGGGCTTGGTGGACCACCAGACAAACAAGGGGTCCTTCCCTGGGAGCCAGAACAGCAAAGAAGGTGTCTCAGTGTTTGGTAACTCTGACCTCTGCACAGAAGGGAAGGCAGCAGGGTATTGGGGATAGCAAACACTGCTCAAACACAGGATGATTTAATACTTCCATTGGCCATGCCGCAGATAAACTCCCTTCTCCAAATCACTAAGCTTGGGTTTTTCCACCTATATTTATTTTGTTGCCTGTACATGACAACGGCAACATTTGTTGGTGGCCAGATTCGAAGACCAGGCCATGGCAGCTAGCAAGGGAACACAAACAACAGGGCAGGATGTGACAGCCAGGCCAGGAGACTTCGCTCCTTCCGTGACCACTGGGCAAGGGAGCCGGGGCTCCCTGGAGGGCTTGCTGTGGTGTTGGATTGGATCAGGCTGTATTTGTACCTTGGACTGCTGGTGTTCCTCCCATCTCAAATCTTTGGGAGCCTTTGAGTGTGATGGCAACGTGGCTTGGGACCAAAGCAGCAGCCTGGAGCCTGTGGCTGGCTGGGGTTATTTTTAGGAATCAAAGCAAACCTCCATCAAGCCTCTTGTTTTAATTCTGAACCTCACTTTCTCAAATGTAGAGAAGGCAGGTCATGGCAGCCCAGGGGAGAAAGACCACGACTTGAGTCTCAGCTCTCTTTCCAGCGTTAAAGTTTAGCAACAGACACAGAGAGCACTTGGTACTTTGCATGCGGACATTTGTGGGTGCATGCAGGCAAGTGTGGTGTGTGTGTGTGTGTGTGTGTGTGGTGTGTGTATGTAGGTGTGTGTGTGTGTGTTTAGGTACATGTGTGCAACAGTGTACTTGTGGAGGTCAGAGGGCAACTTTGTGGAATCACTTATCTCCTTCTATGGTAGTTTCAGGACTTAAACTCAGGTCACCAGACGTGTGTAACAAGCCCCTTTACCCAGCAAGCCTTCTCACTGGCCCACACCTGCAATTGAAGAGGCACCAAATAAATGTTTTGAGTAGACCAGAAATGTAATTGCTAAAAGTCAGTGGCATTTGCTATATATTACCCCCTTATTCCCTTATTCTTCCCTCTCCTGTCTCATGGCCTGAAAACTATGAGCCAGAAAAACCGTTCCCTTCCTTCAGGTGCCTTGGTCAGATATTTTGTTAACAACAAGAAGTAACTTGTACAATATTTGGTTAGAATAAAAGAAATAAGGATGGCCAGTAGGCACATAAAAGGATACCCAACGTCACTAGTCATCAGGAGAACTTTAAGAACAGTAATCTTAACTGTTGGCAAAAGCACAGAACAATGGCAACTCATGTACACACTGTTGGTGAGAACAGAAAATGATAGCATGCCACCACTAGAAGACAGAAGTGTCATCTCCATGCATATCTCAGCACCCTCACTCCCTGTCCACCAAGAGAGCTGAAAGCATTTATGCATGGAAGGGTTTGTGTAGGAATGACCGCAATAGCATCTCTCATGATAGTCAACAACCCAAATGATGGTCATCTGATAAAGAGACAGATTGTGTTACTACACATACCACAATGGAGTACTACTCAGCAACAAAGTAAGTGCTACTCAGGAACAAATTAAGAAATGCCACGATGTGAGCAAACCTCAAAATCATCCTGTCAAATGAAAGAAGACATGCTGTTCACGGTCTTATTCCATATACATGACATTCTGAAATCAGATGGCTGGTTTTCTGGAACTGGAGGAGAAGGGCATGCATTGACTTATGGAGGGTTTTGGAAGGATGAAAGTATCTTCGGTGAAACAAATACACAACTGCTAAGATTCATCAAATGTTCATGGAAGAAGGGTGGATTTTAGCATATGTTATCCCTCCATAAGGGTGCTATGCTCACAAACCGAATGTGTGTCTCTCATAAAGTTGAAGTGCTTTGCCTTTTCTCTCTCTCTCTCTCTTTGCTTATCTATGGTTTGTGAAATTTCCACCATGCTTATACAGGGGCGCGTCTGTAAAGAAAGAAGCAGCCAACAATAATTGGGTTATTCAGCAAGGAATCTGTTTTGCTTCAACATTGTTTGCTTGTGATGAAGCTGCTGGTCACCTCTTTCTCATCTATCTTTTCTCAGTGGCACTTCTGAGAGGTGAGCTAAGGAAAAGGATGCAAAGAGGCCCAGAACTTAATAGCAATGCTTTGTCCTTCCAGCCCCGGGCCTGGCTCCCACCTGGATTCGGGATGAATGCACACTAGGTTAATGATAGGGGGCTCCTGGCTTCCTCTGCCAGCTCCACCTTCCATTCCAACCCAAGTCAGCCATGAACCCTCCAGGCCCCTAGAGAAAGTTGGCGGTCCAAGGCCAGCCAGTCTGTGGTTTGTGGGCCCTGGTGGGCACCGCCTTCCCTCACATTGGTCAGGTGTGTCTGCATGGTCTTCGGGAAGTCAAGAGCCCATTCATCCATTAAGACCAGCTTGGAGAATGACCACTCTGTAGCACATGGTACTGAAGGACACAGTGTCCCTCCGAGAGCCCCTCTGGGTAGAGTTCTCAATGTCCACAGGCCTCTGGCTCTCTTCCCCATCACAGGCTCTGTTCATCTCCAAACTTTCCACCCATGAAAGGGCGAGTCACCTCAGGAGACCTGACAAGTCACAAATAGAACATGGCTGCTCCAAGAGAGGTCTTCCTTGATTGTACTTGAGTGCTGTGGTCACACAAGATATACTCAGACCCAAGTGTCTGGACACAGAGATCTCATGACAAAGCTATGACTTACAAAAGCAGCATCATATAAATATCTTGTGAACAGAACATAGAATTTTTACTCACCCTAGCCAAGAAGTAACACAGGCGAGGGAAACTCAAAACAGCTGGTTGAGCACAGGGGGACAGAGATCTCAGCTGTCCTCTGCTCTGTCACTGCTAAGTGACAAGTTGAGAGAAGTGTTGGGGTCTCCGCCTTGGGGTTCACATAGGTACTATTTTCAGAATCTAGTTTTATTATCTAACACCCCCATGCATACACATGACTTATTATAACTGAACCAGCAACAAGAAGACACTGATGGAGAAGCAAGACATCATATAAATATACAATGGAATTGTAGTTGGCCACACAAGGAAATTCTGACCCATGTGACAACATGGATGAACCTTGAAAAGAGTTATATGATGTAAAAGTCACAAAAGGAAAAACAGAGTCGTTTCATTTGTAGGGAACCATAGAAATGTCAAATTCAGAGAGAAAGAACTGTGGCTTCTAGGAGTTGGGCAGAGCCAGGGATGGGGAGTTGGCGTCAATGGGTTTACACAGTTTCCATTTAGGATAATACAGTGCTGAAAAGAGTAGGTGGATAGTTACACAGCAACATGAATACTGAGTGCCACTGATCTGTACACTGGGGAAATTTGTACATTGGGTATATTTTAACACATGTACAAAGAAACAAGCTCCCTGCCTGCCACCCTGCCTGCTTGTCTATATCAAGTTGTGCCTATTAGCATTGAACCAAGTCTGGGGGACAGGCAGGTGTTGTCTCTGCTCTTACTTGAGTAATGACAAGAACAATAGAACAATGGAACACAGGGAATGCTACCTGTGGCAAGCATGCCATTTGGGCAGTCATGGACTCTCAAAGCAGGGAGTCTGAAGAAAATAAAGCAGAGGGCTTAGTGGACATGATTACTGAGGGGAGGCTGTATTTTTTGCCTCTGGGAGGCCATGCTGAAGAAGAAATACTCCAGGGTAGAGAGCCGACTGCAATTCACACGTCGGGACAGAGCTGACATGGCCCTTGGTCTGGTTTATTTTTAGAGCCTAGAGTCACAAGTCTTCCCAGTAAACAGCCAGCAATTCTCAGGCCAATGCACCAGCAATTTTCAGGCCACTGCGTCATTTGTGTGACACTAATACAACACCAACCAGCAAAAGCGTGGTGACTGGGTAGTGGTAGTGAGTGCCTTTAATCCCAGCAGTCAGAAGGCAGAGTCAGTGGGATGTCTGAGTTTGAGGCCAGCCTGGTCTATAAAGCAAGTTCTAGGACAGCCAGGGCTGTTATACAGAGAAACCCTGTGCTGAAAAATCAAAAACAAAAAATGCAGAGTGTCAGCTCAGGCGACCACACCTTATCTGCCTTTCCCACACACCGCTTCCCCAGACTCCCAGACCAGGCAGTGTTATGAAGGAGCTTGGCAGCCTCCTAAGCCTGGGGTTACAGATATTTGTTCAGAACAACTCTGGCCAGAAGTCAGAGGACAAGCACAATGGAGACATTTCCCTGCTCCAACCTGGATTCATTCCATGGGTGTTCCTTTTTGTCACCAGGCAGGGAGTTTCTAGCTCTCCGGAGATCCTGCTGCCATGCCCACCTTCTCCAGAAGGCAAGATGTGATCCAAGCTGTCTGAAGACAAGCCTTTCCAAATGCTGCTGTCTGTGGCCCCGTGACCCTGGCCCTAATGGGCCTCAGTCACTTTGTGAAATGGCAAGAACATTTAATGTTTCAGATGACAGTGTCCAGAGACATGCTGGGCCATGTACAACTATGAAGCAGTTTCTTCTGCCATTGTGGCCATTGCCTATGACGGACCTCAGAACAGTTAAGTGGCCAGTCAGTGTGTGTTAAGAGCTCAGAGCTCTGGATCCTGGAAATGGCCACTCAGTGTGTGTTAAGAACACAGTAAGAGCTCAGAGTCCTGGGTCCTGGAAATGGCCAATCAGTGTGTGATAAGAGCTCAACGCCCTGGATGCTGGGAATGTTTCTTCTTTTTATCCCTTAAATTTGTTTTAGCAAATGTGGAAATGGAGGAAAAGTGTCTGCTTAAGTGCAGATTATTGAAGATGCAGGAGAAATCAGCAGAGACAACCCATTTCCTCAGTTCCTGGGGAGAAGTGTCACTCTGTCAAGGTGATTGCATATATACTGGGTGACAGCTGGGGTGCGTACAGGGTTTCCTGGTCTCCTTTGCTTTTAGGGTTCATGAGTCACATACTGTGGAAGGGTTTGCATTTGTCTTTCAGGGGCTCTGCCCACCCCGACTGACCAACTTCTCCTTCCCATTAGGCATGGAAGAGAGGCCAGGAGAAAGGTATCAGGCTCACAGACCCAGTAAGATATTTCCACAGGGGAGAGTAGGCATTGTGCTGTCTTCCTCTCTGCATTGCCTGTCACCCATGAGCTGTCGGTCTTGTTGGACACTCTGCCTGGCTCTGGGTGATGGAGGTAGGGAGGGGTGCCTCCCTTAGGCTTAACCCAAAGTGTCCTGCAGGTTAAACAGATTCCCTAAGGCTCCTCTTGCAGCTGCCCAGTTGTGACATCCTGACGTGGAAATGGACTTGGACACTTCTTACAATAAAACAAACACATTGCAGCTGGCAGGAGGAGAGCATGGACTTCTCCCAGAAAGGGCCAAGGGGAGCTGTTTCAGCAACACAACACGAAGGACTCAATCACAGGGACTCTATGTAAGCGCAGAGGTCACCTCTTCCCAACTACCTAGGTAAAGGGACATATTTTCCTGAGCTCCATCCCAGAAGGCCTTGCGGGGGAGACCACTGGAAATGTAGATATCATAAAGACACACTGGAGTCTGGGTCAAGTGGGATTTCCAATGGAGAGACCCTGTCACTTCTCCCCCGGCCTCGGTGCCTCTGAGGGTAAGGGTTCTGAGATGTGGACAAGACAGACTCATCTGGATATGGCTCCAGAGCAGAGGGGGTTTGCGAGGTTGGAGGCTTCCTCTTATTTGCCATCAACCGATGCAGCAGGCCTGTTGAGAAACTGGAAATCAACACTGCTACCCAGTCTCGTTTTTTTATCAAGGATGCTCCTTGGCACCCTCTTCTAATACTATTCTTACATTCAGGCATCGCGGTTCAGAGTCACGCCCATGGGCCCACTGGATCTGCCCTCTTTGGACCACCTCAGATGTTCCAGGCTGGGATGGTGAGGGGCACATGGTTGCAGCTAGGTCCTTCCTGAGGGCCACCCTGGTTGGCCACACGCCCATTGCGCAACGGCAGGCGACCTGGCCCTAGGGCCCCGCTGCTGGGGCCAGACTCGGATGGCAGGCCCGAGTCGCTGGGCTGCACGTCCACCACCACCCGCCTGCGCAGGAGGCGGCCCGGCCTCTCGGAGTAGGCTTGTTTGTGGGCACCCCAGGGTGGCCGGCAGAGCTGTGCACGGAAGGCAGCCTGGAAGCCCCGACGGAAGTTCTCGTTGAAGTAGCCGTAGATGATGGGGTTGGCGCTGCTGTGGAAGAAGGCCAGCCAGTGTGCCAGGGGGAAGGCATAGACGGACAGCAGGTGCAGCTGCGGCTCGCTCAGCTGCCCGTAGTCGATGAGCAGCAGCAGCGCCCAGAGCGGCAGCCAGGACAACGTGAAGAAGAGCGCGACCATGACCAGCATGTGCACCACGCGAGCCCTGCGGCGCGACGCGCGGCCACCCTCAGCCACCGCCTCCTCCGTGTCGCGCGCTGGACCCGGGGCCTGGCACAGCTTGCGCGCAATGCGCGCGTACATTACCACGATGAGCGCCAGCGGCGCCAGGTAGATGTGAGCAAAGAGCACGGCGGTGTAGACTTTCCGCATGCCCTTCTCCGGCCAGGCCTCCCAGCACGAGTAGAGCGGGTAGGAGCGGTTGCGGGCGTCCAGCATGAAGTGATGTTCCTCGCGCGTGACTGTCAGAGTGACCGCCGAGGGACACATGATGAGCAGCGCCAGTGCCCAGATCACTGCGATGGTGAGCAACGCCTTCCGGAGAGTCAGCTTCTCGCGGAAAGGGTGAACGATGCAGCGGAACCTGCAGCCCCGGGGCGGGAGGAGAGGCAGAAGGGGTTGGAAAAGTTCCTGGAGGCCTAGTGGTTAGGGGCTGCTGTAAGAGGACACCTGACTTTCATCACCATGCTTGAGGCAGCATCCGGTGCTGCTGGAAGATACCTGGCATTCATCACTACACTTAAGGCAGCATCCGGTGACAGTTCAGGCACTAATCAGGTTAATTTACAAGTAAATTGGTTTGTCATTCACGAGAGTGGCAGCTCACTCAGCTAAATCTGTTCTGGAGCCCAGGCTGGATTTAAAGTAGGTGAGGAGGATTCAGTTTCCCACTAGATTTAGATCTTTATTTCGGGAAGGGTTAGCTGGTAGCAGGCATCACAGTCAGTCTGTGCTGAACATTCTGTGCTTGGGAAACCTGACTAGGTAAATACACAAATGTTTTTGAAAAAACATTTATCTTGTGCTCAGTTCTCCCTCTCTGTCTCCTTCTCTTCCTCTCCACACAAAAGAAAATTTATACCCTGTGGTCCTAGGTCTCCTTCTACCGTGTGGTCCTAGGGATTGAACTCAGGTCAACAGGAGGCTTGGTGAAACCACCTTTACCCATTGAAACATTTCCCTAGCACAATGTAACAATGTAACTAACAAATGTAACAAATGTAATTTCTAGCTCTTTACATATTCCCCCTGAAAACCCTAGGAGCTGGGTGGGTCAGTGGTAGGCCATCCCTGGGTCATCTTAACCACTATTTTGAAGTGAGAAAAACACAATTGCTAAATCCTGACCTGTCTTGGGCTAAAACTGAGGTCAGCCCAGCCCTCAGGCACTTACAGTACTACCTTTGCTAAGCTGCATTGTTCTGTTTCTGAATTTGCAAGACTTTCTGCTCCCTGATCAAATGAAAATACCATGGTGACACAAGTGTGCCCTGTTCTTGCTAAAATCTCATATCTTGTCCTGCTTGCTAGCGGCTATCACAGCTACACCAACGAGATGAACCACACTTGTGGTCCTTACTTTTATAAACCCCCTGCTCACTCAGCTAGAGGCTGCCTCTTTAGAGTCACAGGAGTGAGAGCTCCGAGCTGGGTCTGTGTGGCTCAATAGAAACTTCAGATTCATAAAGCGCTTCCCCATTCTGGTCTCCTCTTGGGTGACAACAGTCACAAGTATGACTTTCCTTGTTAGACCCACTCAGCAATGACTCCAGTTAAGCTCTTTTTTAAATTTATTTATCATTTTTGAGACACGGTTTCTATGCTGCACAGGCCTCAAACTCCCTATGTTACAGAGGGAGGCCTTGAACTGCCAACCCTTCTGTCCTGCTTTCACCCTGATTTATTTGAGGAAAGGCTCTCCACAGTGTGAAGCAACTGGCACAAGGTCGCACAGTCATCGAGGAGATGGCTTGTCATTTAAACCAGTAGCTGCAAAGCCCTCACTTTGTATAGACTCTCCTGAAATATAAAAGAAAAAAGAAGCCCCCTCCACTCTGAGGTTATGGGGGTGTATCGTCTTCTTTTCTGCATAGGTTGGGCTGACAGAGGTGAAGGAGGTGGAAGGTTCAAAGGTTGTTGCTCAACTGCATGCTCTCCAGCGTGAGCATCAAACAGGTTTATCAGTACAGAATGGATGACTAGAAGACCCAGTTGTTCAAAGATCTCCCTGGACCTTGGTTTCCTTATCTTAAAAATGGGGCCCCTAGCCTGGCAGTGGTGGCACATGCCTCTAATCTCAGCAATCAGGAGGCAGAGGAAGGCAGATCTCTGAGCCAATCTGGTCTACAGAGTGAATTCCAGGACAGACAGGGCTACACAAAGAAACCCTGTCTCTAAAAAGACACACACACACACACACACACACACACACACACAAAACAAAAATGGTACAGAGAAACCCTGTCTTGAAAAACCAAAACCAAACAAAACCAAACAAAAACCAAAAACAAAAATGGGACCCATAATCAACCCTCCTCTGTGGGGTGATGACGTTGAACTGAGACTGCCCCACTCTGGATGCTTAAGATTAAGGAAAAACCAAAACCAAAAACTACGTGGGCACCCGAGGCAGGATGATCAGGAGTTCAAGGTCATTCTTGACCACAGTTCAAGGTCAGCCTGGGTACTTGACAGACATCCTGTCTCAAAACCAACAAACAAAAAAAGCACATCAAGAAAAAGGAGGATTGCCTACTTCACAGAATGTCTCCCCTCATCCATCTATGGCAGAAAATAGAGTCACACCTTCTGGAGACTGTGGGATCAGGCTCAATCGTCTGAGTGGAAGGGAAGAAAGAGGTGGGCTCTCTTACAAGTCCACAGGGTTCTTTAGGGACAGAACTTGCTTAGAACACGGTATGGCACTGTCTGCTGTCCAGAGACCCTTTCTACTTCATCCACCCGTGTCCTGTCCTCCTACCTACTCCATTGTTCCAACCTGAAAGCACTTAATCACATTTCCACAGCCTAGTCAAGCCTCACTCTGAATGACCTTGGCTCTGGCTTCCGAGCATCAGACACTGGAGAACTCTCCAGAGAACAGATGACTCTGGAAGCCTGTGGTACTGTTATGAATTCAAAGGCAATCACTGGGATGATTTGGGAAGGCTTTGTGGGGGAGTGGAGCTTGATAAACTGTAAGGATAACTGGGAGGGGTTTTACATTCTCCTGTCATTCACCAAAACAAACAAATAACAACAACAACAAGAACACAAAGGTTGAGGGCTCCAGAGAAGACTCAGCCATTAAAAACTAAGACTCACAACTAAAAAGGCAAGTAAAAAAAGTTATAGGAGAAGAGAGCTCACATAGCCCAATTGTTTGGTGGCTTTGTAGGGAAGGGGATCCAGCCCCATCATGCCAGCTGCCTACATGACAGGGGTAGAGGTTTGAGACAGGGCATGTGGGGGTGCTTACTTAGCATGCACAAAGCCCTGGGCTTAATCCCAGCAACAAGTAAAACAGGGCATGATGGCATTTGCCTATAAGCCTAGGACTAGGCAGATGTAGAGAGGAAGATCAGAAGTTTAGGGTCATCCTCAACTACATGTGAGTTCAAGGCCAGCCTTACCAACAAAAAACAGAGTTTGGGCGGGCGGTGGTGGCACACGCCTTTAATCCCAGCACTCGGGAGGTAGAGGCAGGCCGATCTCTGTGAGTTCGAGGCCGGGCTGGACCAACAGCCTCCAAAACAATACAGAGAAACCCTGTCTCGAAAAAACAAAAACAAAAACAAAAAAAACAAAAAACAAAACAAAACAAAAAAACAGAGTTTGATGGGAAACAGAGGTGGGAAGGAGATGGACATGAGATTCCAAAAGGGGCAGAGTTGAAAAAGGTTGATGTTGGAGAGAGAGACCAGGAGGAGGATGTGGGTTGTTGTGGGGTATTTGTACACTGTGTGAAAGTGTGTTGCTGTGATTGCTGTAATAAAGAGCTGAATGGCCAATAGCTAGGCAGGAGGTATAGGCGGGATTTCTGGGGAGAGAAAGGAAGAAGAGGAAGAATCTAGGCTTGCAGGAGACACCAGAAGACATGGATAGGAAACAGAGGTACCAGATGGAAGAAGGGTAATGTCACACAGTAGAACGTAGATTAATATAAATGGGTTAATTTAAGTTATAAAAGCTAGTTAAGAACAAGCCTAAGCTATAGGCCAAGCTTTCATAATTAATGAGAAGTCTCCATGTCATTATTTGGGAGCTGACTGGTGGGACAGAAAAGGACTCACAGTGGGTATGTGAAGAAATCATGTTAGCAGCTGGTGTCTGGACTGTAGGTTAAGAACTGTCTATGAACTTTTCCAACCAAGTTGTCTGAAGCCTCCAGCCTCTTGTTAGGGCATTTACCATTTTACCAATACAGTTTGTCCCAAAGTAGTTAAATGAGTGGCCAACGTCACACAGTGGGACAGTGAAGAGGACAAAAGCGATCTCCAGCTGTTCTACCTACCTCCTAGTCCCTGGGGGGAAGGCTCCCACTCAGGAGTCCTCAGTGAGGAGCAGGGGGAGGGTCACACTGTGTGTTATGGGAAGGAAAGCTTAAGCGCTGGTCCAAAGCCTCATTGACCCAGGGCACCAACCCTGGCCACATGTACAGAACCATGCTTAGTCTAGACTCCATTGGTGTCTGAGGCCGAATGACCGGAACTGATGGACATGTAGATAGAGTAAGGCCTGGATTTCCAGGGACCAGCAAGTAGGAAATGGGACAATGGAACAAACAAAAAACAAAAAACCAAACCAAAAACCCTTTATTTCCAGCTATACTAAGCCCATCCACAGATAGACTCCCAGGGCTCAAACAAAGGAGATGTAGGATTCCTGATGCCCAGGATGCAAATTGCCTTGAGCTCCTAGCAGGCTCCAGAAATTACGATTGGACTTTGACAGGAGTGGCCTCCGCCTTCCAGAAGGGGTTAGAGTGGTACTCCCAGCAGGCCTTCTCCTTGGCCTTCCAGTTAGCCCAGTATCAAAGGTATGAGCTCTGAAAGTGTCAGCCCCAAGTTACCCAGGGAATGTCTCACCTTTCCACAGCGATGGCCACGAGCGTGAAAACGGATGCAGACACAGACATACCCTGCACCAAGCCACTCATCTTGCATGTGGCATTGTCAAAAGGCCAACCTGTAATGACAGAGGCCCCCACAGGGTGAAAGATGCTTATCTGACAAAATGCAGATCACCAGCTGGGTAAGCCAAGTCCCACCCCCCAAACATGGCTCATTTCTCCTTGTGCTGAAGGTCTCTGTGACCATAACTGAGGAGCCAAACGTTACATACCAATTCCGACACTGTGTTTAGGAAGATGGACTTTATGTTGACAAGTGATTGTCTTTATGACCTTTGGGTCCATCTAGCTCCCACTGGATCCTATTGTCCAGTCCAGGAGGGAGGCCATTCTTTCCTAACATTTCCTAACATAACAGCCCTTCTTTTATTATCCTATTATTATTATCACATATCCACAGTCTATATGTTATTATTACACATATGTATACTAAAGTTGACCAAACAAATAAGTAAATATGATATGATAACCAGATTCTTTTACGAGAACAAAGCTACAAATAAAGAAGTGGGTATTGTTAAAATAAATTTTCTGATGTTGTATTGGCATCTCAAGTATTAGGATGGACCACAGTTTCTGAAATGCAGGCAGATGGCTAGACACAGGAGTGAAGATGTAGTGGGGTCTGGTGGCTCATGCCTTTAATGCTAGCACCCGGGAGACAGAGGCAGACAGATCTCTGTGAGTTTCAGCCAACCTGGTCTATGTAGTGAGTTCCAGGCCAGCCAGGCCTATATGGTGAGATCCTGACTCAAAAAAAAAATACATGTGGCAATATACATGCATTTCACAGCATTTCAGAGGGTCTAGAATCAAGATACCTCAACATCGATCCTACATGGAAGTCAGACTTTTGTAAATATTATATTCCTTGGCCTGGGGAGATGGTGCAGCAGCTAAGACCACTTGTGACTCTTATAGAGGACTCTGGTTCAGTCCCCAGCACCCACATGGTGGCTCACAGCCATCCATAACTTTCCAGTTCCAGGAGATATAATGTCCTCTTCTGACTTCTGTGGGCACCAGATAGGCACGTAGTACACGTGTACATATGCAAGCAAAACCCTCATATGAATAAAATAAGAATAAATATACTCCAATCAGAGGGAGCAAGACTTTCTGAAGAACTCGATAATTCCAGGACCAATGCAAGGAAAACATGAGGTGACCCATAACAGTCTGTGGAGCTAGGAAGTAAGGAAATACTCTAAACACCATGGTTTCAGATGGGAGGGACACAGAAGCCAGCTGCAGTGAGCTCCCAATAGCCAGACCCAGAGCAGTTTAAGCAACAAAGTAAACAACAGTGTCGGATTAAAAGCCATGAAGCAGAGATCCAATTAGTTGAGCACAGAGGATAAAAACATCATTAATAGAGAACAGGCTGGGAAGCACTGTTGTGGGCAGCAACTGTCAAATCACTATTAAGTTAGTGCAAAGATATAATGAGCCATGACATTTGCACAGCCTCACTCTCTCCCTGTAGGGTACTTCATAATTAAAAAGCGGAAGTGGTTCCTCTGCAGCTGAGAGACAGCAGTTACCGAAGGAATCGAGCAAGCCGCACCGCTCTCATGTGCGCGTTCCCCATGTAGCCATGCTGCTCTCGCCTAATAGCTAAACTGAATCTAATCAAGGTCTCGGAAGCCGGGGAAGCATCGAGTATGTGAAGTTCTGAGTAAATGCGTACCATTGACATGGGCACAGCCATGTCAAGACTCCAAAGCTTAGACCTATGGGACATTGGCAAAGCCACTAGCCATATAAGCCAGGTTCAAGAGGAAAGACAAAGCAGGAATCAGAAAACCTGGGGGAGATGTTGTATTGATTGTTGGTACTAAGGATGCTTTCAGAAGACAGTGTGAGCCAGAGTGGGTAAGGAGAGGAAGATCTACCACACAAAACATGCATGAGAGCATGGGGTATGGGCCCTGTAATCACCACCGGATGCACCTAGGCATTCAAGTTCAGCTCAGGCTATATAAGATCTTTTCTCAAAAAACAATGGAAAAAGAACTGGGAATATTGCTCAGTGCCACCAAGCCTGACAGCCTGAGTTCGATTCCCAGGATCCACATAGTAGAAGGAGAGGATCTACACCACCCCCCATAAGTTGCCTGGTGGTGGCCACTTCAGAGGAATTGCAGTTGGCAATGGAGGGTATGGAGTATGGCCCACCAGTTAGCACAGCTCTGATGGGTGTACCCCAGAGAGGCAAAGTCCCAGGGGGGTTGTCTCCAGAATGCTTCTGCTTTGTCTTCTACTATTGCTGCTATTGCGAATTTACTATATTTGGCACAATGTGATGATGGAGAGGGAAAATGCCACTCTATATAGAAAAGTGTGATTGTTTCATGGGAAAATCCCACTCCACACCAGGTAATTTATATGCCGATCATAATGAAGATGATTTTTATAGAGCAATGGCACTTAGAGATGAGACTGGCCGAGGACAGAAAATAAAAACAAGGAAGTTTCACGCATTATAGAAAAACCCATGAATTCTGCCTGTGGCAAATCAGGCTGGTGATAAAGGAAAGCAATTATGTCCCTGCCCCCAAAGTTAGGTCTGAGTTCCCTGGTCATGTAGCTTACAGGATTCATCACAGGTTTTGGTGTGCACCTTGAAAGAACAAACTTGTAAGAGGAAATTAAATGACCCTATTGTGTGTAAAGAAAAAGGAAAAGTAGATGGTTAGTTAGGCCACTTGAATCAAGTTTTGTAGAACAGAATAAGGATAAAAATTTGCTACACTGGGTTGGAGAGATGGCTTAGCATTTAAGAGCATTGACTGCTCTTCCAGAGGAACCAGGTTCAATCCTCAGCACTCACGTGGCAGCTCACAACTGTTCATAACTCCTGTTTCAGGGGATCTTATACTCTCAAACAGACATACATGCAGGCAAAATAACACTGTACATAAAACACACATTAGTAAATTATTAAAAATATAAAAAGAATTTTCTGCACTAACACCTCAATGTCTGCCAGTACAAAGAAACTGGCTGAAATATACTTGGCTTGCTTAGAACTTTGTTAGTCAATAATAAAAGAATCATTGCTTTGGATGGGAAAATAATTCAAAGGAAAATGTTTTTGTTTCTTTGTGTGTTTTGTTTTGTTTTTTTTGTTTGTGTAGCCCTGGCTGTCCTGGAACTCACTTTGTAGACCAGGCTGTCCTTGAACTTACAGAGATCCACCTGCCTCTGCCTCCCGAGTACTGGTACTAAAGTTGTGTACCACTACTGCCCGGCTAAAGGAAAATGTTTATCTACATGTGGGCTCCTAAGAAAAACATGTAACTGTGATCATAACATGATTATGATGATTTTAATTTATTTTTGGAAAATATGTAATTTGCAGTCATGAGGTAAGTTCTTCTTCTTTTTCTTTTTCTTTTTTTTTTTTTTTTTTTTTTTTTTTTTTTTGGTTTTTCGAGACAGGGTTTCTCTATATTGTTTTGGAGGCTGTCCTGGAACTCACTCTGTAGACCAGGCTGGCCTCAAACTCACAGAGATCTGCCTGCCTCTGCCTCCCGAGTGCTGGGATTAAAGGCATGCACCACCAACGCCCGACGGTAAGTTCTTCTTTTGTAGAAATTTTTGTCTTAGGCGCTATAAAAAGGAATAGAGGAAAAACAAAGAGAGAATTAAGCTTTGCCCTCTCCAAAAAAAAATGTCTCCTGTGTGTGTGGAGGCACTGACTCCAAATCTCCTCTCCAGTTTCTCTGACCTACTGGAGCCGGACTCTGGCAGTTATCTTTTGACTTCTACATATGTGTGTCATGCTACACGCACTCCCATGCCTCTCAAAGCAGCAAATAAATATCATTTTAAAATTAAAAATACAAGAAACAAAACGAGTGAGAGCTGTAAAAGAAAGGAAAAGTTGCATTCTCCAAGGAGAGCCCTGCCCTTGAAGAATACAGGCAACTCTTTATTCACTGCAGTCCAAGACCTCAGCAGAGAACTGATGACGGTGGGAGTTGCCAGCCCTTAGGCATGACCTCTGTGCAACTGCCTACAATATATCCCCCAAGTACACATTTTCATATTTTTGTATGTTGATTTTTTTTGCTTTTTAAAGTTTACCTCCTCGTTATTTTACATTGTCAAACTTTTTTGAAAAAAAATTTATTAGCTGGGTGGTGGCGGCACACGCCTTTAATGCCAGCACTCAGGAGGCAGAGACAGGCCTTGAACTCTGTGAGTTCAAGGCTAGCCTGGTCTACTGAGAAAGTTCCAAGATAGCCTCCAAAGCTACAGAGAAACCCCGTCTCAAAAAACAAACAAAAAAGTCTTTTTATATATGCATGAGTGTTTTGCCTCTATGTATGTGTACCATGTGCATGTAGTACCTGGAGAAGCCAGAAGGGGGCGTTAGAGCCCCTGGAACTGGAGTCACAGGTTGTTGTGCGTCACCTCCATGTGGGTGATGGGAATTGAACCTGGGTCCTCTGCAAGGGGATCTTAACTCTTAACTGCTGAGCCATCTCTCCTGCCCTAACCAGCCTACCTACCTACCCTTCCTTACTTTTATCCTTCCTTTCTTCCTTCCTTCTTTCCCTCCTTCCTTTTTTTAATGGTTTTTCAAGACAGCGTTTCTCTGTGTAACAGTCCTGGCTGTCCTGGAACTCACTTTGTAGATCAGGCTGGCTTTGAACTCACTGAGATCTGCCTGCCTCTGCCTCCCAAGTGCTGGGTCTAAAGCCATGCGCCACCACTGCCCAGCTTAAGATGCCTCTCGTTTGTCTGTTTTTTTGAGGCAGGGTTTCTCTGTGTAACTAATTTGGCTGTCCTAGAACTCACTCTGGGGCTGGAGAGACGGCTCAGAGGTTAAGAGCACTGACTGCGCTTCCAAGGGTCCTGAGTTCAATTCCCAGCAACCACATGGTGGCTCACAACCATCTACAATTCAATCTAGTGTCCTCTTCTGGTATGTAGGCAGAACACTGTGTATGTAATAAATAAATAAATCTTTAAAAAAAAAAAAAGAACTCACTCTGTAGACAAAGGTGGCCTCAAACTCACAGAGATCCACCTGCCTCTGCCCCTGCCTCCTGAGTGCTAGGACTAAAGGCGTGTGCCACCACTGCCAGGTTTCAAGATGTCTTTTTTATGCCTGCATTTGTAAGAAATAAAAATCTCCAGGGTCTTCCCTCTTGGAGCCTCTGTCTATAAGTTAGACTGTATATAGTGATGACCTGTGATTGAGCCTGTCAAACATCCCAGAGCTCAGAAGGCAGAGTTGGGAGAATCACATATGACAGACCAGCCTGCTTGAATAGTTAGCTCCAGGGAACTACAGGGTTGAGATCTGACATCCTAGCCCCCCAAAAGACCGAGGTAGTCTGCCAGTATGCTAGTTTGAATATGAATGCCCCCTCATAGGCTCTTATATTTGAATGCTTGGTCACCAAGGAGTGGAACCCTTTGAAAGGGTTAGAAGACTAGTAAATGTGGCCCTGTTGGAGGAAGTGTGTCACTGGGGTGGGCTTTGAGGTTTTAAAAAGCCCACTCTAGGCCCAGTTCTCTTCTCTCTGCCTGTGGATCAGGAAGTAGCTCTTAGCTACTTCTCCGGTACCATGTGTGTTGCCACGCTCCCTGCCACAGTGATAATAGACTAAAGCTCTGGAGCTGTAAGCAAGCCCCCAATTAAATGCTTCCTTTCATAAGAGTTGCCTTGGTCACAGCGCCTTTTCACAGCAAGAACAGTGACTAAGACGGCCATGGTATTCCAGATGCCCACAGTTATAAAGTGGGGTGCACACAGTTACCAGCCACCACTTTGGGCCCATTATGAATAGATCCAACCTGCTCAGAACTGTTATATCCTCACAAATGTCATCTGGGCATTTGTATACCTGAGTGTTTATGCTTGCAAAAATATGTGCTACGATTGCCTGTTTTATTGTTCAAGTGGCCTTTGGAGTGGTCTGTTTTGTCGCTGTTATGGCGATGCCTTGTGGTTGACGTTTGTTTTCTCTTTGAGATGTGGTTTCACTGTGTATCTCAAGTTGGCCTCAAACAGGTGATCCTCCTGTCTTAGCCTCTTGAGCTCTAAGATGACAGACTGCTTTAGTTAGGTTTTCTATTGCTGTTGAAGAAGCACCACCACTGTGGCAACTCTTATAAAGGGAAACATTTAATTGGGATGCCTCACTTACAGTTCAGAGGTTCAGTCCGCTGTCACCATAGTGGGACATGGTAATGTGCACGCAGACATGGTGCTGGGAAGAACCTGAGAATCCTGCGTTTTGCAGGCAGCAGGAAGCGGTCTGGGAATACACCTGGGAATAACTTGCACATAGGAGCTCTCTAAGCCCGCCCCCACAGTGACACACTTCCTCCAATAAAGCCACACCTATACCAGCAAGGCCACCCCTTCCTACGGTGCCACTCCCTTTGGGGGCCACTTTTTTTCAAACCACCACCCAGATCATCACACCTGGCGACACCACTCAAGATTCAGGTTGTGTTTCTCAGAATTATGGCTCAGACTCCTAGGAAATGACATGCCTGGGAAACTGGTGAAAGTCAAGAGAACTCCACAGATGAGTTACAGTATTTGCAAGCTTCCTCCCGGCCTTGAGTTTTCTACTGTGGTTCTTGGGGGAGGCAAGCGAAGCGCGTGCAAGGAGTCTAGGCTAGCGCTGCTGTTTTTCTTTAAGTCTAAAATTGTTTCAAGGGGCTGGGAAGATGGCTCCGCGGCTGAGAGCACTTGATCTTCCAGAGGACCTGTGTTCGGCTCCCAGTACCCACATGACGGCTCAGAACCATCTGCAAGTCTAGTTCAAGGGGATCTGATACTTCTAGCCTTTGTAGACACCACCAGGGACACATGTGGTGCACATATATACATACAAGCAAACCACAGACACATTAAATAATATTGAGGAATTGTAAAAATAATGAAATAAAAATGACTAGAGTAGGCAAAACACTCACATTTAAAGGTAGCTAGCAGCAACACATTAAATAATATTGAGGAATTGTAAAAATAATAAAATAAAAATTACTAGAGTAGGCAAAACATTCACATTTAAAGGTAGCTAGCAGCAAAGACTCTCATCTGCACTCAGAGTTCTTCTTTTGGGAGGCCACCAACATTGCCATTTTTTCATGAAATTTTTAAAAGATTTCTCTTATTTTATTTATTTGCATATTCATGTATCTGTGTTTAGTTATGTACATGTGTGTGTAGGTTCACGTGAAGGCCAGAGGTGTTAGATCTCCTGGAGCTGCAGTTACAGTTAGTTGTAAGCTAACCAATGTCCTTCTTTATGCCGAGGAATATATGTTTCTCTTATTGGTTGATGAATAAACTGGCCTAAGTCTCAGGCTTCTTATTGGCTAGCTCTCTCTTAATTATTAACCCATTTCTATCAATCTGTGTATCTCTTGCTTCCTCAGCAGCTACATGGCATCTTCCTGACTCTGCCTACAACCTTTCTCTATCCCTGTTTGGATTTCCTGCCTGGCTAAATCCTGCCTGTCCATTGGCTGAAACAACTTTATTCATCACCCGATAAGAGAAACATACATCCCTCACCAAACCAGTGTGGGTGCTAAGAACGCAACTCAGGTCCTTTGGAGAGCTGTATATACTCTTCACCTCTGAGCCATCTCTCCACCCATCTTTTAAAAAAAATCATTGTGTGTGCATGCATGCATTCCTCTCTGTGTGTGTGTGTGTGTGTGTGTGTGTGTGTGTGTGTGCACGTGCGCACCACATTCTTTCAGGAGTAGATTTTTTTTCCTTCCACCATGAGCATCTCAGGAACAAAACCTGGGTGACCAACATGACAACAAGCACTCTCATCTGCCAAACCATCTTGCTGGCCCATCGTGTTTCTCCACACTTGAAAATAGACTATAAATATGAACATGTTTAACATTGAAATTATTTTCAACCAACAATAAAGCCCACTGTTTTTAGCACACAAATCCACAAGCTTGATGAACACATGGAGTCATGCGGCTTTAATCATATTCAAGATTTAATCATATTCAGGAAGCTCCCACTCATTCCTTTATTATTCCCTGATTCTGCCAATTTGCTTGCTCTAGAGACAGAAAATACAGTTTGGCCTTTGGAAATGTCATATACGTAATCATACAGTACACAGTCTTTGAGACCGGTGGACTAGAGTGCCCATGGGTGCTAGAAGAGGGATTCACAGTTTGTGCTCGGCATCTCTGCAGGGATCGGGACTCAGTGGTGAGTAAAGGCTCCACCAAGGCACACAGAAGGCTCTCCATGACTTCATTTTAGGGTTCAGGAACCTGAAAAACACGAGCTTCTCCTTCCTAGGCCTGAGTCATGAAAGCCACTACCAGGAGGGAAAGCGGACCAAGTAAGAGCCTCTGGGAACTTTGGGCAACCCTGAGAGCTGAGTAATCCCACTTAGACTTCTTGGTCACACCCTGCCTGGAGTCTCCAAAGCTGATATTAAGACAAGAAAAGCTGGTCACCAGAGAAGAGAGTGTGACATTTGGACAATCGTGGGCATGTAGAGGCACTCAGTCTAGTTCAGATTTAAAGATCTCCTACCAAAGCCCTGCTCAGTGGCCCGCCAGTCCCTACTTGGACACTTCCAACCACTGGGAAGCTCATTGCGTACAGAACAAGACCATCTTCTGTGGGGGAAGAGGCGGGAGGAGTGGGTTTCCAGGTCTTCCTGCAGAAGAAAGTCACCCATTTCCTACTTCTCCCACCTCTAGCTCTGCCCCACGAGAGGTCTCTCCAAGAGTGTGGCCAGAGGTCTGTGAGAACACTGGCCTTGACGCTGACAAGCTCTGTAATTACAGGCCAGTCCCTTAACTGCTCTGAGCGTGGCTCCTCATCCGTAAAATGAGGATAATAACAAAGCACGCTTGGTTGGATGGTTATGGGGATTAATTAAGATAACGTGCACATCCTATGTAACATCATGCCTGTCACAAAGAAGATGATTAGCCCATTAGACTTGTGATTCCTAGGCCAGTCCCTCGTCCACAACTCCGTCAGAGTTTGAGACATGGCGCTTTGGCCAAGAGGCCAGCTCAGTGACTTCTGTCCTCCTGGCTTCTGCTTCAGCCTTCTGCTGGGAAGTGGAAGTGAAGGGTGAGGGAGTTCCTGCCACCCCTTGGTCACACTTACCAGTGATGAGGTTGTCCACGAGGGTAGTGGGCATGCAGAAAATGCCCACCAGCAGATCGCTGACAGCCAGGTTGAGGATGAACATGTTGGTGACCGTGCGCATGTGGCGGTTCTTGAGCACAATGAAGCAGACCAGGGTGTTGCCCACCATGCAGAGGAGGAAGATGAGCACGTAGGCTACTATGAACATGGCTGCCACTGGAGAGGAGTGCTGGTAGTAGGAGGAGAAGGTGAGGTTGGCAGTCAGGGTAGCCTCAGCATCACTCCCATTCTGACTCAAGGGCCAGCTGACATTGGGAGGCTGGACAAGCTCGCCTAGGGACCAAAGGAACACAAGTGTCATGACCTAAGCAAGGAAGGGATGGCTGATGTCAACACTGAAGTCAACGTTTGAGTGGGGTTATAACTCAGAGTACTGGCCTAACTTTCATGAAGCTATGGGTTGATCCCCAGTACCACATAAAATAGGTGTAGTGGCACATGCCTTAAATTCCAAGCACTTGGAAGGTAGAGGCCAGAGGATCAGAAGTTCAAGGTCACCCTCATCTACTTAGAGTTTGAGACCATCCTCAGCCAAATGAGACCTTCAAAGAAAAGAAAGGAAAAGTTCATGTTTCTTTGTGTTCTATGTGCCCCACCCTAAGCCTACTCATTACTGTCCTCACTGTTCCAAGGACAGCTGGACACACAGATCAAGGGACTTATTTTTTTTAATTTTTAGATTTATTTTATGAGTGTTTTGCCTGAACACAGGTGCATGCACCGTGTGTATACCTGGTGCCTGTGGAAGTCAGAAGGCAGCAGATCTCCTAAACTGGAGTTAAGGATGGCTGTGAGTCATAGTGTGGTACTAGGAGCCATACTAGAAACAAGCAAGGGCTCTTAATCACTGAGCCATCCCCTAGCCTCTGATTAAGGACTTTCAATGAATCCTCAACTTGCACCTACACTGCCCAAGGCTCATTCTTCAACCATGCCGTTTTTCTCCATCAACATCTTCTATCTGCCTTCACTTCATCTTTTGGGCCTCATAAGACCTCTTTGTATGTGGGGGGGGAGGGATGACAATGTCTTATGTATCAGGCTAGCCTTGAACTCATCATGTAGCCAAGGATGACCTTGAACTTCTCATACTCCTGCCTCTACCTCCTGAGTGCTAAGACTGTGTCACCATGCCCGGTTTATATTCTAGAACCAAGGGCTTAGAGTGTGTTAGACAAATACACTATCCCCAGATCCAAGACTCTAACTTCTAAAGGACCCCATCCCACCAGCTCTGGTTAGACTCAGCCAGTGGGAGGCCCTGAAGGAGGTGGGAAGGCAAGATAGGAGTCAGGATTTGTTTCCTGGCTTCCTTCCTGCCTGGCCCAAGGCTATCAGAAGACACAGCTCTCCTCCTGTAGGAACACTCCAGTGTACCTTCGTGTCTAGATATTTTTAATTACCCCAAAACATGTGTCAATGATATTTGGAAGTGAGGCTTTTGAGAGACGATTGGAATTATGAGGTTAGAGGGTGGGGCCCTTGTGATATCATTGATGATTTGTAAGATGAGAAGAGTCCTGACATATTGTGCTTGCTCTATATTTATTTACTATTTAATATACAGTTTCTGTCTGCAAGTATGCCTGCAGGCCAGAAGAGGGCACCAGATCACATTACAGATGGTTGCGAGCCACCATGTTGTGGTTGCTGGGACTTGAACCCAGGACCTCTGGAAGAGCAGCCAGTGCTTTTAACCACTGAACCATCTCTCCAGTCCTTGCTCTATATTTCCTTACACACAGTGTGTGTGTGTGTGTGTGTGTGTGTGTGTGTGTGTGTCCACCCTTGAAGACCAGAAGAGGGCACAATATCTCCTGGGACAAGAGTTATATGTGAGCTGTTAGACACAGGTGCTGGGAACTGAACCTCTGTCTTCTGCAAAAACAGCAAGTGCTCTTAATGGCTGGGGCCTCTCTCCAGTCCCATGCTTGCTATAGTTTGCCATGCAATGCCTTTACTATGTTAGGATGCTGGGTAAAGGCCCTGAGCAGATGAGCCATGCTTTTGGACTTTTGGGCTTCCAGAATCATGAACTAAGCTAACTTTTTTTTTTTTTGGCAGAGAAGTTGAGACAGGGTTTTTGTCTGTGTAACTTTGGAACCTATCCTGGAGCTCCCTCTGTAGACAAGGCTGGCTTCAAACTCACAGACCTGCCTGCTTCTGCCTCCCAAGTGTTGGGATTAAAGGTGTGCGCCACCACTGCCCAGGTGCTAAACTAACTTCTATTCTTTATAAGTGACCCAACCCTGGATATTTTGGTATTGCAATAGAAAAATGGACTAAGAAGCTCCTGATCCATGCAATGGTAGCAACCTGTTCTTTCTCTTTGCACCAACAGCCCTGCAAGCAGCAATAGCATTCTGGTTTTGCCAGCCTGGTGGTAGGTATGCACGGACATGCTCTGCTCCACATATTTCTCATCAGGACCAGGCTAAGTATGTTTCTCCAGTTCTACTTTGGAGGGAACAGCCCAGTGTCCAACCATAGCTCTTCTGGGAAGTCATTAGCTGTGGTGAGTCATGGTGTTGTCTCAAATATTTTCCTTGTATCTTCCTCTGGGACTGGATGGGGCCCATTCTGGAGGATGGAGCACTTCTGAGGAGTCTTTCTGTGGAGCCCAGAGCTCAGCCACTGGCTAGGAGGCACCTGGGGGCCGGAGGCACCTGGGAGCAGTGGGCTGTTGAGCTGGCATCATCCAGGCTGCAGGGACCAGTGACCGAAGGAGGGTGTGGCAGGGGTGAGGGTCTGCTGATGGAGAAAGAACTTAGAGGGGATGGCATTGTTCCACCCTTAGATCTTTCAAAGACTCTAATAGCATTCAAACAGCTTTAATATAAAAAATTCACACATACGCATAAGAGAATATTATGCGGTACATATGCAAGAGTATAAAGTTTAATGAACCATCAGAGATGGAATGGTGGAAAGGACTCCTACGTGAATGCCGCGCACCTTCAACAACACCCACTCTCCTCTTCAGTTATTCTGAAGTGTCAGTCAACATTTCTTTCCACTGCAACATGGTTTTGTATCTTTAAAAAAAGACATCTAATTTTTTTAAAACGGGAGATCCAGGAGCTGGACAGGTTGCTCAGTTGGTAGAGTGCCTGACAAACATCCACAAAGTCCCAGGTTCCATCCCCGACAACAAGTCAGGTGTGGTACACCCATAAACCTAGAACCCCAGAGGCAGCATTCCAGGTTCAAGGTCATCCTTGGCTACATACTGAGTTTGAGGCCAGCCTTGCCTACATGAGGCCTTTTCACAAAACAAACAAAGCCAAACCAGGCCATCGGGATGGCTCAACAGGTAAGGTGCCTGCTGTCAAGCCTGATGACCTGAGTTTGAGCCCTGGGACCTACATGGTAGAAAGAAAGAGCCAGCTCCCACAAGTTGTCCTCTGATCTCCAGTCACATGCCAAGGTACGTGTGTCCCCACACTCACACACATCATACATACACATAATAAGTAAAAGTGTAAATAAAAATAAAATCTACCCTTCTTCTGCCACACTTAGTTGACATCACCTCTCAGTCTGTCAGGTCACAGGTTCCGCTCTTGTCTCTTCACCACCCATCAACCCTTGCAACTCATTTGTCCTGAAGGTTATGTGACTCTTCTGTGGGCTTGTCTGCGGGCTGGATGGTGCAGACGGCTCTCTCGTGGTATCATTTTTTACGCTCCACTCTCTGTGCTCTGGAGTTCTTGTAATCTGCAGCTAAAGCTAACGGTGTGATCCGAGGGTGCATCTGGGTAGCCTGCTGGCCTCGCTTGATCTCTCTTTTTTTTTTTTTGGTTTTACGAGACAGGGTTTCTCTGTATTGTTTTGGAGGTCGGTCCAGCCTGGCCTCGAACTCACAGAGATCCGCCTGCCTCTGGCTCCCGAGTGCTGGGATTAAAGGCGTGCGCCACCAATGCCCGGCGCTTGATCTCTTTTTTAAAAGGGTCTCATATCACCCACGGTGTTCATGAACTCACCATATGCCTGGAACTAGTCCTAAACTTTCCAAAAAGTTTTATTTTTTATTTTTATTTTGTGCATGCGAGTGCTTTTACTGCATTTATGTCTGTGTAGCACATGTATACAGTTCCCCCCCCATGCCAGAAGAGGGTGTCAAATCACCAGGAACTGGAGTTACAGATGGTTGTGAGCTGCCATGTGGGTGCTGGGAATCTAACACAAGTCCTTGCAAGTGCAGTAACTGCTCTCTCTCTCTCTCTCTCTCTCTCTCTCTCTCTCTCTCTCTCTCTCTCTCTCTCTCTCTCTTCTCTCTCTCTCTCCAGAATTTCTCTGTGTGGCCCTGGCTGTCCTGGAACCCAATTTGTAGACCAGACTGGTCTCAAACTCACAGAGATCCGCCTACCTCTGCCTCCCTAGTGCTGGGATTAAAGTCGTGCACCACCCAGCTAGTAAGTGCTCTTAACCACTGAGTCATCTATCTCTCCAGTCCTAAGCCTTGAACTCTCCATCTTCCTGACCCCACATCCTCTGCCTGTACCTCTAGGCTCAGCTCTCCTTAGCTCAGCCTTCAACACACAGCAGGCTCTGACCCCTGCTGATCTCTCCTTGGTCTTGAACAGCCCCTTTGCCCAGTAAGTTCTGACCACTCCCACATCCTCTTGTGTTTTCCAACCCCAGGGCCTTTGCTCTTCTCCCTCCCTCATTCCCCTCTCAATGCCTTCCTGGAGAAACCAAACTCGATGACTCCAGTTAAAGGAGGCGCCCCAACCATACCTCTCATTGGGTCTTGTTTGTGTTCTTGAATGATTTGATTTAAGGTTCACTGTCTTCTTCCCTGGACTTAAGAGTCAGCTCCTGAACTCTAGGGCCCTTCTCCATCTTACTGGGAAGTATCTGGTATCTTGTCAGTGCCTAGTCATAGTAAATGATTCAATAAACCAGTAATAATAGAGTGAACAAATAGGTCGAGGGAATTCCCAGAAACCTTTCAGGCTAGATCCTAGCCTGCTTCCTGTACTCCCCTTGCTCAGCCCTCAAATGCTCTCATTAGGCAGTCTTTCTCTGCAAATTGCCTGGAGGGACCTTGCCCACCTCTAATGTCTAAACACCTGGGTATTCATCCCAAGACTTAACCTAGCTCCCAGCACTGCATCACCCCAGAAGAAACCCTCCCTACTCCTGTCAATTTCCCCGGACCCAGAGCCCTCCTACCTCTACCATTCTGAGCCCCACGCCAGCAGCCAGAAGCTCATTAACACCCTTCACTCAGCCTTTCTGGGACCTGCCAGCTGCCCTTATGATTACATCCTGTGAACTTTTCATCCACTGAACCCAATTACATTCCCCAATTGGATGGGTTTCCCAGATAATGATGGCTGCCTCTAGGGTACCCTGATGAGCTTAGGGGGGGTCACACCTGCATCAGCAACAGCTGGGCTAGAGAGGCCGGAGCACAGCGTCTCTCAAAGTGTGCGT